CACCCCTATTTATTGGCTCCAGCCCAAGGTTTCTAGAGTCTTCTCTCACCCCAGCTCCAGGAGTGGTTGAGACATTAGTCAGTCAAGGAGAGTGACACCGGGCCCCTCCCCGTGGCTGGCTTCCGGAGCTTTTCCTGGGGCATTGTCTGTGCTTACAGCACAGACACGTGGGCCTCGTCCTTTACACTGCCTCATCACCGTGACTTTGCATGAGGATCAGGACTCCTGGTTGAAGCTGGCTGTGATGGCTGGGCCTGGCCTGCTCACCTCGTGGGGCCCTGTGGGATGGGTCCCCAGCTGGCGAGGCCCCTGCCCTGCTGGGACATGTTACCATGCATGGAAGCACCAGGCCTTGCTTATTTTTTTGGTTGGGTCCCATTGGGTTTGGAGTGTGTTCAGTTTAGATAAATGGCAATTTCCCTAAATTTCAGGAAGCCTTTAGTTCCTTGCCTTGTGTTCAGCAGAGCAGGCCTTTTCCACAGGGAAGGCTCTGCCATTGGATTTTGTTCTTAAGCATTACATTACTTTTCTCAGGTATTTTTCTAACATACCCGAGTTTAGGAATCACTTCCTCAGTGGGATTTAATTCAACTCTAACAGTTTAGAAATAAAAATCCTCAATATACTTTAGAGAAGTTAATAGCCTCTAATGGGAGATCTTTAGTGTGTTTCTTTGTAATGTCTACTACATTTCTGTTACTGAGTTTGGTATTCACACTTTCCTAGCAATTTTATCAGTGACTCCAGAAGTCTTTTGAAGGCTGGCTGAATGGCAGTTTCTTCATTTTTGCAGCTGAAAATTGAGACAATGTTGTTTTGTTTTGTTTTTCTCCGTTCAATCTGTTTCGGGGTTTGCATCCTCTCTGCGGAGCCTCAAGCACACGCTGTGTACATGCAATTTGCTCAGAGGAGACGTGCTCAAAATCTGCGAGTCCCGCAGTGCATCACCTTGGGTGCCTTTTCATTGTGGCCCTGGAAATGGGAAGGCAGGGAAATGAGAAGCGTGGTGGTGGGCAGCCTCAGGCCCATTAGCTTGGTCTCACAACGCCCTGCTGCTGGAGGTGACGAAGGCAGCTTTTGGAGAGAGGCGACTGCAGGTGAAAGAAAGGGTGTAATGGCAGCAGTCAGGGAGCCAGGGAAGGACAAGGAGGTATGCCACCGGGCAGAGTTCAGGACAGCAGGCTTCAGGGGAACATGAGGAGTTGCAGCAAGGTGCAGAATGCTGCTGGCTTCTTAGGAGGCTCAGGTATGGGAAAGGTGGACGTCACTGTCGTCATGTTGTCAGAGTCACTGTGTTGACCAGAGGGAAATATCTACAAACACTATAAACAGAAGAAGTGAAAACTTTTGTACTCTGAAAGCAGTGCATTCGGCAAAGTTATAAGGATTTTAAATAAAAGTCTTAATTACTCATTTGCTTTTAATGATCTTATTTTCCCTTAAGTAGTTGTAGAGGGGATATTTAATGTTTTTTTTTTATTGAAAGATATATGAATTTTAATTATTTGTTCCCAAATCATGTTTTCTATAGTACTGACGATGTTTTGATTTCCCTTTTCAGGTCTTGTCTCTCACTGAAATACTATGGCCATGTGTGCTTTTCTTGATTCTGGCTGCAATCCGCTTCCAGGAGCCCCCAAAATACAAGGAAAACTGTATGTTTTATTTCACCTGTGTTCTATTTTGTTTGCCTCTGCTTGTAGAAGTATTTAGGAAATATTAAAGATATCTTAGAAAGGGGGACTTAAATGTAGTGGAGTCAATGGAAAGAATTCTACAGTGGGATTCAGTCTTGTCTAGCTGTGGATCTGAGCAAGTCATATTTAGGTGGGAAAGAAATACAAAGTTTAAGGTCTGATTTGTCAGACCAGTTTTAGACATCTACTTTGGAGTAAGGTGGATTACTCGGGTTTTAGTTGTACTTATTTCTTCCCATTGAGTAATGGAGTTTAGATGACTGGCTCAGAGGTAGATAATTATGCAGTAGATATTAACAGTTAGACAAGATGAATCTTACCCCTACCCACTTCCTGGGATTTAGAATGAACATTTTGTAAATAATAAATTCTTCCACTTCCATCAACACTTCAAAACTTGTTATGACTACCTCCACCTTATAAAGTTATTTTTGCTTTTATCTTGTCAAAGGTTAACTTCATTGAGAAAAGAATGACTTGTGGTATTATAGTCTATTCAGTTTATTATTCTGTTATTCACAGATGTCAGTAAGCTGGGGATAAACCAGCTTTAGCCACATTAGAAACCAATTTGGTAAAATAATTATAGATCTGTAGAGTGAAACATCTGGAGAGAATCTAGCCTGCACTATATACATTTACTTTAGACTAGCTCTAGTCTGGACCCAAGGATGCAATACATGCTAATGGTTTGAATACATGAAGTGTGCTCTTGGAGTACATCTTCTGCTTTGTTTTAGCAGAAAGGGATCCAGTGTATGTGCTCAGAGAGCTTTCTACAATGTGAACTGGAGTGTGCTAAGTAAAAATAACTCATCTGCAAATGGCACTGGTCATTCACAACTCAAAATTCATTATTTTATACATCAGCTACAGTTCCTGAGGAATGAAGGATGATTTGACTAACAGCACAATTTCTAATGGTACATGTCTCAAAGATATTGGCACCTGAATTTAAATAAAATTAGGATTTTTAAGTATCATGTACATGTAGTAAATTCCCTATTTGTGCATCTTTCAATTCTGAATATTCAGTCAGACTGCTAGCCCAAATGCTAGCTTTCTTATCTCTTTCTCATTTTGTTCCCTTAATTTTGATGTAATGGTTGCCAAAAGAAGGTTATTCAGAGGAAGAGGGGAATGACCTTTCAAGTATTTCTCAATTTTAGCTGTTTTAAACAGGTAAGTGAAGTTAAATAGGAACCTTATAGCTTATTCCTTATGTTTCAAAATAAGCAAAAAGTTGCTTTATATTTTGAAGTTTGAATTCTCAGAATTGTGGAGAGATGTGGATAAATTCCAGAGACATGGAAAATTTGCTGTTTAGATAGTCTTGATGGATGTACATTCAGACATTGCTGAATACCAGTTCCTTCATCTCATGAAAGCCTGGGAGAAAAGAGGAAATACTATTTTGTGAAGAAGTCTATATTATAATCTAGGTCAAAAGTCATTTTAGGCAGAGAGCCTAGAAAGCATATGATGTTGCAATGGCGTTACTACCATGAAAATCAGCTTTTCAAAGATCGCTCTCAAATGTTATACCCTGTTGTCACAGTCTGACACAGAAGTTATTAATTTTCTGTGGTGAATTAGTTGTTCTTAAATGGGACACCTGCCATCGATACAACTTCATTGTTTGCAGGCGACAAAGCCACTTTCTAGGAGAAGGGAACACAGTGTGATGGTACAGGTTTGTAACTGCAATGTCACTGGTTTTAATTCTGCCTCTGCTTGGTTTTAGGTTACTTAGAAGCTCGGGATTTACCAAGTCGGGGCCTTTATCCTTTCATGCGGACGCTTTTCTGTAATGTTGGTTCAAGATGCAAGAATACTAGTTACACAACACAGAAAAACAACTGCTTACGGTAAGTTATACGAATTTGACAGAGCTGTTGGTATCACAGTGCATCTTTTTCTACAGCAAAGGTTCTTACTGTCTTGTAGACAGGTAGAACAGGAGCTTTGTTACTCTGTGCTAAAAGTTGCCTTCAGTGTCCTTATGAATGCAAAAGATGTAGGGCCTTAGTCATGCCTCCTCCTAATTTTTGTTTGCCTTTCTTGGGCATTTCATTCTGTTATTAGATGCTGAAAACTGTTTTAGGGGAAAATTGGAGAGGTACCTTGTGATATTCTTGCCCTTCACTGCTGCCATGTGAGACCATACTTTTATCCTTCACTAGAAAGTCTTTTATTACAAGAGGGTGAGATTGAGCAACAAAAAGTATATCATACATGGATTTAAACTTTGAATAGTTTGGGAGCATACATGGTGGGAGAAATAAACACAGAAAAGCAAAACAAAGATAACTCTCAAGTAAGACCCACAAAGAGCCAAAAAGGAGTAGCAGAAGCTCTGTAAAAAAAAGAACTTGAAAAAGTAGTCTGTAAGAGGGCCTTGTCACAGGATGCCAGAATGCAGAAAGAAAAAAGATGAACTTGAATTTAGGCTTTTTCTTTAAGAAATGTAGTAATTTCATCTACTTCAAAATGTTGAAAAGCATTGAGATTCAAAGACGCTTATGCAAATTGGCTGAAGGATGTAGTCATAAGAAACCTTTCAAAATATATAACAATAAAGTCAAATTAAGGTGAGCTAATCAGAATATATGTTTTTGTATGCTTATTCTTAGAAAATTGAGAATATCTACCAAAAAAAATCTTAGAGGTTTGAGCCAGGTAAGTATGTAAGAGCATCAGGTTTTTATGGTTTATTATTGTAGAAGTTTATAGGTAGCAACAAATTCAGCATGCAGCAAGTTGGAAAGCTTCAGTATCAGTAATAGGCCATAATACTTACCGTTTGATCTAGACAGTCTGTTCTAGTTATTTGTACATGTAGAGAGCTGTTGATTGAGCATAAGACCATGCAAAATAAATCTTGTTTATGGGCAAACACCTTCTACATAAAGCAATAATTTGTGAGTAGAATTGAAATCTTAACAGTTTAAGCCAAGAATCATTATTAGTCCAGATCTAGTATTACACAAAATACTTACATACAGAAATAACAGTATTACAGTAATATCCCTAAACAAAAATTCTCCTCATAATAATAATACAGTTAAAATTGTTACACAACCACTTAGTTTCTACTCCTTTCCCTGGGGTTATGCTCACCTTTCCACTTGCTCCTCTGGGTCATAAGGTCAGTGGCTGCAGTCTGGTGGTGGTGGGGTTGTTATGGCAAATCATGATCTGGAGCCCTTTACCTGGAGAAATGTGGTTTGATGGCTTTTCACTCTAGGGTGCACTTGGGGTCACTTATGTTTGATAATGTGGTTTTATACCTTGCTTGTTCTCCATTGGTCTGTATCTCTATCATATATCTGAATTTATATGGTACATCTGAACGTATGTGGTATCTTTTACATATGTTAGGTACCTGTTCTTTTTTCTTGATACTTATAAATTGGCTTTGTCTGGCTATAATTCTGCATTTTAACTGACCACTGGTGAGTTTTTTATAGCCATGGGGTCCTCAGTGCCAGCCTGTGCCCCATCTCTTATCATCCCAGGCCTGTACTCCAGTACAGTGCATCATGTGTCCCCACTTCTCAAGGCCTCTACTATTATGCTGGGCCTGTGTTCCTCTGCACTGCTTTGCTATGGTAATCATAAATATCTCATTTTGTACTGAATGATCACTTGTTGCTACTATCTGTATAAAACTGGTGGTATTATACAATGACAAGTGAAAGTAAAGCAAATAGCCATCTGGCCAGAAAAAAAAAAAAGGTTAAAACTAAATCAAGTCAAAACCAAAACTGCAGGCACATTAAGACAAGTTCAGACAAAGCAAAGGTGGCAAGCCTTTGTGCCATGGTCTTGCAAACTCAGTACAAAGCCTGTAGCCTGTTACTTGCAGTGGCAATACTACACTATTGGGTTATAGACTTACAATGGCTGTTGGCCTTTTAAAAATTTTTTTCCTAAAAGGATAGTTTTTATTTATATCACTAGTCCAGATGCCATCTAAGTGTGTTAAACCTCTAGAAACTATGAACTATATTGACTACTCTGTATGATTTTTTACACTGCTTTGACTGAACTGCCCAAATTATATTTCAGCTCAAAAGAAAAGCAGGAAAGAATTTCCTGGAGGCAGTCTTAGACCTACTTAAGAATTGGGGAAATTATTCAGTGGCTTTCAATTTTTCAACTGAAAAATAAAATGCATGCATGTATGCATATTTATACACTCAATAGGCTACACTGAGCCGCATATAGCCTAGGTAAGGAAAAGGGGTGAAAAGGTAGGATGAAGTTCATTCTGAGGTCAGTCTATTCCAGCAGGTCCATCAGTATAAATTAAATCAACCTCAGGGCTGCTCTGACTTATGCTGACTGCCAACAGCCTTAGGAATACAGACTGTCAGCTTGATCAGCCAAACATAACTTAATCCTACAATTTTTCTGTGTTGACTGGAGAGGAGGGGTGGCACAGGAACAGTAATACCAATTATCATCCCTTTGGGGATTTGTACCAAACCATAGGTGGTTCTTTATAATAATTTTCAGGGACATTTTTGCATCAACAATGCTGTGTTTATTAAGGGTAAATCAAAGACTGTGCATAGTTTGCATGGACACAACCCATTTGTTTTCACAGTATGTACCACATCGGTGCTATCAGTTTGAAATATAGTTGTTGCCTTTTGGACAAAGTAATTCTATGACTTCTGTTGGAACCTCCGCTATGAAAGCCATAAACGACCCAAATAACTATTTGTCAGTGAGCAGCCTGAGCAGGGCTGCTCCATGAGGGGGGCTGAGCCAGGGGTTTAAGTCATCCTGCTGCAGGCTATGCCCTCACAGATGTGGCGCCATCCCCCCAGGCAACAGGCTCCATTGACAGCCTCTGACATGGTGAGAAGATGAGCCAGGTGAAGGCTACAACTACCTCATCAACTTTGATTTGCAGAAAAATCTGCCACCTCCTCTGATGCCTCGGAAAGCATCCATTTTTCAACAGCTCTGAGGCTTTGCTCCTTGCTCCTCTCTTCAGCCACTGCAAAAGCTGCTGGCTTGCAGCTCTTTGATGCGATTCCCTAGCCTGTTACACCCAGCATTATTGCAGAGGAGTAAGGAAATATTTAGGAGGTATATTTAGGAGCTCCCATGGCAAAGGACATTTTTCTCTGCTCTTTCCAGAATGTTCCACTCCCCACCTCATCTTAATGGAGCACAGAGTAAAACTGAGAGCATGCAAGTAAGATAAAAACTATGCAGCTGTGTCCTATGGCCTTACACCCACACCCACAAATGAGAGTGCCTGTGCATGGAAACATAATGTGTTCCCAGTACTCTTAATTCCACTGCAAACCTTGCAGAATGTGGTGGGATTTGCCCTTGCAGCTCAGACTCCTAGATCTATGTTTGTTAGACTTCTCAAACCTAAAAGAAAATTAAGCTTAGGTTTTCTCAAACTTAGAACTACAAAAATCACGAAAACAAGACTCTAAAATGTTATTTCTAAGCACATTAGTTTATTTCTCTTTATTTAGCTACAAGTAGTAGCAGCCTGAGCCACCTCACCCTGTAGGTGTGTTGGAGCCCCAGGTCTGTCTCTGGCATCTTCTCCTGGATGGACCCCTCAGTCCCAGATGGTAGCTCTGTCTCCTTTGGCACCTGACTGGACTCCTGGGCTCATCCCACTGTGTTGGGGCTGTCGCTGGAGCCTGTGACCCACCCCCGGCTCTGCCTGCTGGCTAGGATCCTGGGGGATGGTGCCCCACCGGTGAGGGCATGGCCTCCTCCAGGGTCGCCTCAGCTCCTAGCTTTGCCCCCCTCCTGGAGCAGCCCCATTCACACCAGTCCTTTTCTTGTTACTGATTTTATTGGTACCTGGTTCTCCATGGTTCTCCAGTGGAGTAGTGTCAGAAGAGCTCATGTACAACAGCAGGTGTGGAAAAACAAAATCAAGGAAGGTCTAAGCAACAAAGATAGCACTTGCATAAGAATTGCTTAGAGGGTCAAGTAGTTCTTTAATGATGTGTATCTTCAAATGAAAGAAGAAATAATTCTGCAGGATAGCTGTACATCTGCAGCAACTTATTGGAATAGTAACCCTATGTGGCCTGGGCCAGATTTTGTAGTCTTATGCTATGTAGTTGGAAAACAGAAACCAAAGCAATTTTCATGATCTTGCTTATAGATTGTCGGAGAGTTGGGGAGAAAAGGAATTTTAAACATGAGTTTTCTCCATTTTATAGCCAATTAAGAACAACACTTTTCTGTTCTTTATATTTTTTGGTCTATTGCATTTTAGAAGGGTTATAATAGCATGCAACATGCAGGGGAAAGATCTTTCCTTTTTGTGACAGACACGCAGTAAGCTATTGTCCAGCATGTGTATTGATGTTGATGGAGATACCATGTCTCCAGGCTGTCCTGAGATGGTGCAGAACAGGAGCCAGCACAGCTGGGGCTTTGCAATTTTAGAGAGAAATTTTTAATGTGGTGACAGGGGTGAGGTTGAGACAAGAGTTTGCTGAGAGGCTTATGAAAATCACCAGTCTAAATGGCATTGCACATCATAGCTGAGATCTCAGATGAGCTCTGAAATATTCTTATTGTCATCTGGAGTAACTGGGTAATTTGGACAGAGTTAGCATTTCTGAGTCATGACTTTAGGAAATGCCAATTGCTTTTACATTCTGAAAGAGATGCAGAGTCTTTTTGCTCTTTTGCAGTGTTTTGTCGTGGTCAAAACTTGTATAAATGTATATCTTTAGTTTGATTTCTGTCCTCATGCAAGTATTTCTGGAAATGCACAATTAAGGGAAGAGTTACCATAGATGATAATGAAATGGTGTGTATATATATGGACATGTTCTCCTAACACCCCAGCTCTAATTCTGTATATCCTGTCCTACAAGTTACTGCCTTCCTCCTTTTGTCCTTTTTGTCATCCCTTGCTTCTCCTCTTCATTGTTCCTAGCAACTGCTGCTGTTGACTTCCTTTACACATACATAAGTAAGTTAGTGTCATCTTCTGCCGCAGAAAGCACACACTGAAGGCTCTTTGGGAGAGTAGCAGTACAACAATTAAGTATTTTTGTTGGCACAATGTCTGAAAATTGTTTGTCTTGACTGTCCCTGCAGCTGGTTTTGAAGTCTAGTTTCTTATCTTTTTGGCAAGATGGTGACATCTTCCTGCAATTTTGTGTAACTTGTGCTGAATTAAGAAACTAGTAGTATCTTGCAGCATTCTTATTAGAAGATAAATATGGTCCCCAATTACCATGTTGAAAATATATGATATCCTTTAAAACTTAGCACGGACATTCAGCAAATGGAACCTCTGTAATATTTTAATCTGTTTCATAAAACTGAGCCTGATAACTAGTATCATGCCCGTTGCCATTTCCTCTTCCAAAGGAGGTTGCACTCAGCTCCAAGAGTAGCCAGAGGAAGGGCTGTGGCAATGACGGCAAAAGAGGGGCACGAGTGGCAGCTGGCTGACATCGCTCCTGCCCTGGAAATCCCCATAAAGCTAATAGTTCAGAAACAGCATGTCCGAACTGCTGCTCTCGTTCTGCTGAGAGGCTTGTGCTTGGGAGTGTGGTGTTTCTATGAGTTTTTCAGGTTGCACTTGCTGCCTTCTCTTCTGTAATAGCTGGGCCTTATGCCTGGTTTTTGGCCCTTCTTCCATACCCTAAATATCTACACTCCCC